ACCTCGCGTTTGCTCAACAAAAATACGAACAAAATCACTTGAACAATGCCGAGGTTAATAGAAAGTCGGTCGTGGCAGTTTCTGTATAATTTTGCTTGTTACAAGCCTACAGAAGCCGCATTTAAGTGTAATATTTCTTTGAGACGTTTAAGGAATGGTTTATATTACTAACAGGAAGACATTACATTTCATTACATTACACTTTACATTTCATCTAACGAACACCCAAATGTTCCTGGATCGTCTACGTAATGCACGACCCAACACCGCGTACGTGGTGGAGTCCTTCGACGTCACGGCCCTCTATACGAACGTGTCGAGTGATTCCGCTATGCAAGCCATCCGCGAGCTCCTTATACAACACGAACGAGCAATAAACATGTTTAAAGGAGTGTTTGAACTGCTCAATCTTCAGATGGTCCGGGAGGTATTACGCCCAAATGAGAGGGCTGGCAATGGGACAACGACTGGCACCAAGCCTTGCCATTGAATTCACGTCTAAGGTGGAAGCGCCAATAATCGACCTCGGGTGTCTCTACTGTAGACATATAGATGACTGCTTGCTTATTTGTTCAACACAAGAAGAAATTGATAGGTGTTTCGAGTTGTTGAACGAACAGTCAGAGTATACTAAATTCACCCGAGAGAATCAGAAAACGGCTACATTATGAGATGGTATCGAAAGCCAAGTAGTAAAAACATCTTGGTTCATTACCTCTCCTCTCACCCCTCTGAAACGAAAATGGCGCTTGTGGTGAGAAACATGTATCGAACAGCTACCAGCATGTGCACACGAAGACAGCAGAGAGAGGAGTCCCTGAGCTTGGCGCGGCAAATAGCCATTTTTAATGGCTACAAAACTGCAGCTCGAGATATGTAGAGGAAACCACAGGTACCCTAACAATAACTCTAACGACAATAAGGTCCCGCTTATACTGCCCTTCATTTCAAATGAAGTAAGCGCAGCAATAAAACGTTGTTTAAGAAGGGCCGGTCTAGAGAATTCGGTAACGATAATTGAAATGTCATCGAGTAATCTAAGACGTCAACTAGTTCGTAACCGTCTATATGACCGTCTATGTGGAACACAAAATTGCATAATTTGCTCCAATAGTATAGAAGGTGACTGCACGAGTTCGGGTACAGTCTACCTGTTCTCTTGTAAAGCATGCGGGGACGAATACGTTGGCGAAACGGGTAGACCACTCTGCGTCCGTATAAAAGAACACCTAGTCGGTAAACGTAAACCAAATACTTCACTAGGCATGCACAGGACTCGGAGACATAACGGATAAGATTTTGAGGTAGGGGTTACGATCCTCGCGCAAGAATCGAGAAGACAAGCGCGCAAAACTCTAGAGACATTCTAGATTAATTCCAAGAATTCGAAAATGAACCGCAGGGAGGAATGCCTCATTATCACGCGTGATATTGGACAGTATATAAGCCTGTTATTTTGATGAGATGGGCACAATACGATTCCATGTGAACTCTGTGCGGTTGGTCTCCACGCGACATATTTAGTGGAAGACTCATAGAAAGCGGTGAGTGTGCAAAGACTCTGTGTTCAATGTGATTGAAATATTGGTTCAGCATTTTCTCAATTTGGTTATGGAGATGTTTGGCCGTGTAGATTTTAGTCAGCTTGACCTTTCCAGGCTCTGAAGAAGGCGAAATCCGCCGAAACGTCAGCTTGTACGTAAATAAAGAAATAAAATAAGCACCTCGTGTTTGCTGAACAGAAGTAGAAAGAATTATCCAATCAATCCTGAGGTTAATAGAAAGTCGGACGTTGTAGTTACTAACAGGAAAGTTTTTCTTACAATTCGAAAAATGTGAAGCTAGAGGACTCAATAGTAGTATATTCCAGAAATTTCCCTCTTCATATGGAAAAGCGATGACCTAGGAAGAAACCCTTGCAGCACTTTCATAATTACTTATTAAAAATCATGAAGGAATGATCAGTAGTTTCTACGACGAAATGTGCTAGAATATCCCGGTTATTCACATGTCCACTGATAACAATTTGAGCGAATTTAACTATCGAAACATTCACCATCGATTCCTTACCAACTTTTACAAGTCACGTTAGCGTGTTTAAAGTGCTGCTTCTTCATCATACTTACTGGGATGCTTGGATGGCCGTGCTCACTGGTTGTGCGAGTCCTAGCGTTGTTATATATCTCAATGTGGCAGCTTTGCCTTCGTGTCGAGTCAGGTTTTCCTCAGCGGGCCGTCTCCTCGAATGAGGCATACTAACTCGGTGATACCCTTTTATGCAGGTTGCTAATGGTTGATAGTTGAGACTGTCCGGTGATAGTGTGATAGTAACTTGTTTATGCCGGACAATCAAACCTGCAGAAGTCAACCCATCAGCAGCCTGCATGAAACGGCATCATCGAGTGAATATGCCTCATTCGAGGAGATGGCACGCTGAGGAAAACTTGATTCGACATGTAGGCGAAGCGGCCAGATTGAGACGAATAGGAAGCGTGGGCTATCGACTCGGATCACCGGCTCTGATGAAGACAAAGGCGTCGAAACGTTAGCCCAAAATAGATATCATGATCAACCTCGTGTGAGCTCATCAAAGAAAGAATACATATTCATTAGTCACACCGAGGTTCAAGGAAAGTCGGTTTCGAAATATTACTGCGTCCTCTATGTTAATATACTTACAAAAGTAGATGATTTGGAGGAGGACAGCATCCACATTAATTAAACCCAAACTTTTATGAAAACCTGATACCAGAGTGACATACATCGTCTATGTGCTTCAACTTCAAAAGCAGGCCAAACTTGTTATAAAAAGGAAAAACTGAAACGCAATAAGTATTTCCTGCTGCTTGGTAATGCTCAGACGTCATGAAGATGATTCGAAAGTCAATTTCAGAACCTGCTTGCAAAGTCCTACCCTAGCAATCACCTTGTCTCAGACTTTTGACAACCATTTCCAAAGCTTATGAAGAAAGAACTGTGAGGTAAAAGCCATCCACTATCATGCACAAATCTGAAATCGTAGTGACTGGTTTCCATTAAAGTTCCAGAAGAAATTTGTGAAGTAGTTATCTAGAAACAAATGGTAGATAACCAGTGGGAGCCGTATGGTGAAACTATATTTCATTAAAGTTGTAAAGTTCTGAAGAATTGGCATAGAATGTTGCAAGGCTTTCTTCCTACCCCGACAATATTGGAAGCAAACTCCCATAGACAGGAGAACTTAGAATTGTCCAAACTCTTCATGATGTCAATATTAAATATGAAAACACACCATTTCAACAGTAGTATCACGAGGAACAGAAAAAATTGAGGCACTAGCTCCAATGGCAGCCGCAGTGTTGGGCATAAGTCGAATCAAAGGACCTCTACATCCAATCGCTGAGAGCTTAAATATCAGGGTTCTATCACCGCTGTAAAAAAAAAACACGCACACACGGGCTAAAAGACCACCAAGAAATTGCTTGAAAACCGACCTCTTTCTGCAGAATGGTTGTGCTAATTCCAGCTAGAATTGAAATCACAATAGGACAATTTCCTAAAGATACTCCTTTAGAGACAATAGAATCGAAAACTTCATGTCTTGATTGTGGTTTCATAGCCAAGACAAGGATACCTGGAAAAATGTGGCTGAACCAAGGGAGGTACAATGAATGACGTCCTCACATCCATTGTGATATAAAAGATCTCAAAGCCAATGAAGTTCAAGTTATCAGGGAACATGTGTCGATGTAACAGATTTGAAAGAGTTATGATTTCAGTTTATTGGTTAAACTTTCGAGCCATCCATTGAGCCATGTAAGTGGTAAGACAGTAGAGTAATTATGAAGATATCGCCTACTTCAGTACAATGGATGATCACGAGATCTATTGTTGAAATTTAGCTGGTAAAAAGCTCATGCCTAACATAAAGTGTTTAACACAGTCGCAAAGAAGTAATCTCGTATAAAGTAGTGCAATGCAAAAATAATGGCTGCTTCGAACTTTAAACTAAAATATCTCGGCTCATGGGGAACTCTCACACACACGCGCACAAACAACCCATCTACTATGCGGATCTCAGCAGTTCTCGCAATGGAACACCAGTACAATCCTTAAACGGAGGTAGATGCCGGACCAAGGAGCGACAATGACGACTGAGTATCTAAAGTCGAATTTTTTGGAATACGTTATTAAATTTTCAACGCGACCCTCATTAAGCTCGACACAAGTAATAAATGCCTTCGTGCTTGTTAAGCCAACATGAGGTTGATGAGGTTGATCAAAACGATCTATTCTGCCATGGTTTCGACATCTTCGTCGTCTTCAGAGCCGGAATGATTCCAGTCGATGGTCCACAGGTGGTCGTTTTTGTGATATTGTTGTTCATTGTCGCACGGAGTCGAATCCCGTGAGGAGGAAGACCGACTGAATGAAGAATCTCAATCGGAGGTGAACTCTCATACATAACGGGAGTTGCTCTGTTGCCCTCATTCAATATAACCTGCCTTTTTGACGGAGCATTGCATCCTGGAGCAGTCGGTATTATATTGGCTAGCACATAGATGCATTACCTTCAGTGGTTTTCGAGTATCCTGGAACTTAAACCTCTCTTTCTCGTTAAGGGACAACTAAAGCATAAACCAAAAAACAGGCAAATAACTGAATTTCATCATCCACGATACAAACCTAACCAACCATGGTTATAAATTAGTACCGTGGAATTTATAAACTCAGGACCGCAAGAAAGACGATTCCAGACAGTCAGTTTACGTACACATTTTTCATAACGTTGATATCGTTAGGTTCATACTACTCAGCTCCTCTGTGTATGTAGGATAGGTGTTCGAGTTCAAGACGCTACAACGAAGCTCATTATCGTCAATTTCGACAACACTGCTTGCCAACAATGATTGAAATACATGGCAGTGAAAGGGCCCGTGTAGCGCACTGCAATACGCATGGGGTCGATCCTCGTGCCCCAGGCTCGCCATGCCTTCCATCCCTCCGATATCGGTGGATTGATACTAGATCTATCTGGGAGGGCAGCAGCACTGGCTCCATACATTTTTAGGCCACTGCGAGTCAGTAAGGGCCAGATAAGCATTCAGTCACCTCCAACGATGCTTAATGAAGTTGAATGCATGGCGCTCTCTCAAGGATTGACCAACCCCGAGAGCTTTATACTCTTTTATTCACAACGCAGTGAAGAACTACCTCGTGTCGACCATGCAGAAAAATTGGTTCGAGGTTAAAGAAATGCTATTTTATAAAAAACACTTTTAAAACTAATGCAACCTGTCCTACGGACCCAAAGAGTACCACTCTAAGCTAGTCGACCTAAAGTTGTTCCACACACAAATTACCTTGAGTTTACTGGCTCAGAGTGGATTTCATTACGAACAGAGGAATCACACAGATATCGAACTTAGACCAAGACAGTAAGAGCCAACGAATGATTTAATATTTCGAAAAAATTAAGCTTACAGATCCACAACACCAACTGACAACGAAGCTCACCATGCGGGAACCTTTTAATCATGTCAGCTGTAGAGACGAACACGTTAGTAAAGCCTTGACTCTGAAACCTAAGGATGAAATAGAGGACTAAATATATTAATAGTGAGAAAAGCCATACCTTCCAGTTATTGAGGGTACGTTCAGTACGACAGCTTATGCCTATTTCAGACGTTGTCATGAAATCTGACAATAAAAGTAGCTCTTGAAAGACGAAATAAAGTTATTAAGCTCCATCTATGCATTAAGAAACTCGTTCGCTAATGATAAACTCCATTTGGACCTTCCAAGACAAAGCACGTTTGCTGACAGTACAGCATCAAAGTCTTATTTCAGTACTACAACAGTTTCATTCAATATTTATCTCGTTTCCAGATTAGGCAAAACACTAGCTTTGTAAAGTATTACAAAAACACTGAGAAACTTAAATAAAGACCTTCATTTTACTCTGGCGGAAATAGTAACCATATTTGAATGGGGTTGAAATCCTCGTTTAGCACTTTCCATTTTTGGTTATGAAGGTGCTTTGGTTGAGTAGATTGCGATCAACTTGACCTCTCCAGGCTATGAGGAAGGCGAAATCCGCCCGAACGTTAGGTTTGCCGTCAATAAGGAGTAAAATAACACCACGCGTTTGCTCAACACGAGTGTAAAGAATTACCGGGTCAATCCAGAGGTTAAAAGAAAGTCGGTCATGGGAGTAACTAAACTTGTTTCTCAACGAATACAACGAACGGAAATTGGAATGATGGAGATAGGACAAGCAAAGATCTTAAACTATTTTCGTACCGCCACTGATGTTGCTACGGTTCATTAACAGAATCGACTTACATAATTCTTTACAAAGCCGCCAGGGTTTAACTCCGCTATGTCGGAGGGGCGCGCGTGGCGCAGTGCTCGGAGGCGCGCTGCAACACTCAAGTGGAATCGATCCCCACGCACATGGCCCAGCAAGCCCTCCATCCCTTCGGGGTCAACAAACTAGTACCAGACCTGTCAGAGAGGATGCTAGCACTGGATCGGATGCATCGGAAGGCCACCACGACTCATTGTAAAGGCCAGATATGCATTCAATCACCTCCAACGATACTTAATGAAGTCGAATGCATGGTGCATCCCTCAGCGCCGAAAGCTTTATCCTTCGCTCAACTTTTTCCTAAAATCCGACTAAAAATTAAAAAGAAAACAAATTCTTTATATTCCTGTTGAGCAAACACGAGATGTTATTTTATTCCTATTTTTCACTGAAAAGCTGATGTTTCGGCGGATTTCGCTTACCTCAGAGCTTTGAAAGATCAAGTTGACCGCAATCTACCCAGCTAAACACCTCCATAACCAAAATAAAGAAGTAAAGTAACATAAACATGGCTACGCTGGCTATACGTGTCAATTCTTGTCGGCTTCACTGATAGAGAACATGTTTCTTTCTCTGGCCCAATTGAATTACAAGTTTAAAAAAGTATATTAAAAAAGCTAACCTGATTTGACATAACCGCTGATGAGAGCTGAAGCCATATTTCCACCACCCACAAAGAGAAGCATTGGATTCGGGATCCCAGCTGACAGGCATAGTCGGTTAAACTCTGACATAAGACACCTGAAGAAAATAAGATATCTTTACTAATCCGCTCCCTTAGTATGGCTTAGGTAGTCACGACATAAAACTTAAGGAATACAACTAGACAATGAACGGAATCCATTCATATGAGAACGAATCAACGACCAGGACAGCAAACATACTAGGGCGTTCGAGAACGATAGAGGAACGTCGCCAGGACGGTGATTCGATGGCGTCTACAACCGCCGATGTGAGACATATTCGCACATAGTTTCTCCCAGAGTTAAGTATAGTGGTTTAAATCGTTTACGAAGGGTAGTATCTTTACGAATGAAAGTTTCGAGAGATGGAAATACGTTGATTCGTTGGAATTCGTACGCTATAAGAAGATCATTACGGTATACCATAAGGACTTCCGAAGTATGTGGATGTCATTTTACACCACTACTGTGCCTAAATTGCTTTCTGTTGATGACTTTCAACGACTTTTCGTAATCGTTTTATGGAACCTACAAAACAAACACAGAAACCTTACAGCTGTAGATGAACATAATAAGGTTGAAGGATAAAGCACTCAACGTTGACAGGTCCCTTAAGGATGCGCCTTGCATTCGACTTCAACAAGCATCGTTAGAGGTGACTGAATGCATATCTGACCTTTACAATGACACACGGTGGCCTGCCGATGAATCGAACCAGTGCTGCTATCTTACCAGACAAGTTTGGTGCCAATTTGTCGACTCCGGAGGGATGAAAAGTTTGGTGGGCGAGGAGCGCGGGAATCGATCCCATGTGTATTGCAGAGCGCCTCCAACCACTGCGCCACACGGCGTCCATGCAAATGAATAAAGTATGGTGAATATGGTTTATAAAGGAAGAACAAAAGTTATAAATTAGTGTGACTCTCTCTATTTAAAGCCATGTCGGTCATAAGTAAGCCGTTATGCTAACAAAGAACGATAACCAAAAAGGGTAAGTCATTGAAGTCCCAGCAGCACGGTCATGGTTACCCACAAGTCGCGCTCCGAGGTCAACAAAGCTCTCATTCGTCCAGAAGTACTGGCTAGTAGTCAACTCTTCTGGATACTAGTAATTGGATGACTCTTAGCTATGGAGAATATTGTGGACTATGAGACAAGTTACATTGAAGTGGTCCGTCTCCCACTTGCTACGATTTTTTCCCCAAGGGTTCCAGAAATCTCGTACAGGGAATTTCTAGGTCGTCACTTGTTTCATCGGAAGTATCAGAGGAGGTACTCCAATGACTAGAATTCCCTATGAAAATTCCAAAACAGTTTTTCGACCTGGGTAATCCCGCTGGAGGAGGAACAAGGAGCTCACGCATCACATCACATCACCCTGGAGCACTGTGACGAAGAAAAAGAAGTTATGGAGCACTTGATTCCATCCCGAATAGTAAAACAGTCCCTTGTTTCTGAGCTTGTACCTGCAAGTTGCTCTACAGATTCGGTTTTCGTTCACTGAACACCTTAGAAAACGTATTTGTGGTGCGTTCCTAAAAAACTCACTTGGGCTGAAGTTTACACATCACGCATATTTAAAATTAAAACTGAAGCACAGAATTTTGAATCTAACATCGAAATCCATACCGATTCCAACTCCACGCTCGGTAGCACAAAATCTTCGCTGGTTACTCAGCAATCGATTTTTTAAAATGAATTACGGTGAACTTATATTTGTGGTCATTCTCTTCTCCCGTTCTCTTCTTTGTTGGTCGAGATAATATCATATGTAGATCATTATTTATCACATTTAACACGCAACACCCGAGAAGCATAGCATGCGTGCGTTAGAGGTCACCAGTGGACGAAGTGCATTGCATCTAACTCATTTTCGTACAAAAACACTCAATTTGGGTAAATTCATTGGCCGATAATTTTACTAGCAATTGACTTCTATTTCCACTCCAGTCGCTATAATGCATCATAGTTACTGTATGAAATGGATGGGTATAAAAAATATCGAAATGGACACGACGAATGTTGCAAAACACTTCGAAATGTTGACAGCAACGTGGGTGCTATGACTGATTCATGTTCCCAAGACCTTACGTTCTTCAGTTACTGAAAAATTTTCATCCGTTGTCTAAAAGCCGGCAAGTTCGTAACCCACACAGAATTGGGCGCCATCGCGCACGGCAACCGATTGGCGATGCGCGGTGTTTAGCTTGACCTTCCCTTCGGAGGAGCAATTTTTGGTTGGCTGCATAAAAACAGTCAATCTCATTCGAGATTTCAATCAATGCCTACCATCACGCTGATTTTTCGCTAGTGAGCCAGGTGTATTTCATTTATATTGAAAGACATGGAGAGCCATTAAAAACCTATGAATTGTATTCACTAAAGAGAGTTTGCTGTGTTTTTCTTCGGTAAGCAAACATGAGGGTGATATTTAAGAATTTATTAGTATAGAATAGCTGACGTTTCGGCGGTTTCGCCTTCTTCAGAGCCTGGAAAGGTCAAATTGACATGCGGTCTACTCAGTCAAACAATTCCATAACCCTGGCAGATTAGAATGGTGGTGATTGGGGAGCAGATGAGACCCAAACGGTGTGGTGGTGAAAGCGTTAGCCACCGGAAAGGGAGCTGATTTTATGCTCTTTCTAACTACGTCTTTATATTTCGTTGAGAATTAATTTTTTTAAACCAATTTTGAGTTTTGCACTTCTAGATGTTAGAAACGAATGTTCGCTAAATTTTCTTTTTTGAGTTCAAACTCGGTTCTAGTGCAGCAGAGATAGCTCGAAACATTAATGGAGTTTAGGGTAAAGGTATCACCTGTATCACCTGTGTCACCTGTAGCACCGTTGATCGTCAAGTGGCTCGAGTGGGCGCCAGTAAATCTTAAATTTTTCACTGTCGCGTGCAAGAGTAGCCCAGTGTGTTCTGCTCGCTTTAGGGACTCGTTGAACATCATATCTTTTTTCTAGACTTTTCGTGAAGAACTCTGATCATCGGGTCGATGGTCCACCTGCAGTACGTTTGACATCCCAAGGAATCCAATCACTAACGGCTCTTGTCCGTCGGTTGTCATTCATACGCAATATGTGTCTGGCCCACCTTATCTTCGACTGTTTGGCGTACAGAACGGCACCTTTGATTTTTGATCGTTGACGCAGGTCGGAGCTTCGGATCCCATTCCTTACTTGTGCGAAACGGGATACTCCTAGCATCATCCTTTCGAGTATGCGTTCAATAACGCTGAGTGGTTTTTCATCCTGTTTAAGCAGCGATCAGGTTTGTGACGCAAACGTTAACGCAGGAAGTACCATTGAGTAGAAAAGGTGGGCACGGAGTCGGGTGCTGTTTGTTTTCCTGATTACATCCTTGATGCTCTTGAAAGCCCCTCAAGCCGCTCGTTTCCTGCTCAACTCTGGAGCTAAGTCGTCCATCATGTTGATTTCCCGACCTAGACAGACATAACTGGAGCATTTGGAAATATTCGTTTCGTTGAACGTGAATGGGACATACGAAACCAATCCGTTCCTGATGAACATGAGGGGGTGAAGGTAGTGTTGGTGAATCAACAGTGCGAAGATGGTTCCGGAAATTATGTTTGGGCGATTCCGACCTCCAACATAAGAAAGGTCGCGGACATCCCAATGAACTTGACGACGACGAACTGAAGGCACTAGTGGAAGCTAACACGCGAACAACTGTTCGAGGGTTCGCAGAACAGCTTGGCGTATGCACGAGAACAACTTCCACTCTTCCTCTCGCCTACCGACTATCACTTCTTGAAGCACCTTAACACTTGAAACGCATAGAAGAGACAAAAAACTCGAGAAGTGGTTGCTTCACAAACTAAACAATAATAGAAAAATCGCCGTTTTGAAATGTTGTCTGCTATTATTCTGCTCAACAAAAGCGACCTTTTTCTTGATCGAATTCTAACGTGCGACGAGAAGTGGATCCTGCACGACAACTGGTGACGTTCAGCTCAATGGTTGTGTTACAATCGGACTCCACAGCACTTCCCAAAGCCGAAATTGCACCAAAAAAGGTCATGTTGACTGTTTGGTGGTCTACAGCCGGGCTGATTCATCACAGCTTTTTGAATGCGGGCGAAACGATTGCGGCAGAGAAGTATTACCAACAAATCGACGAAATGCACCGTAAATTGTAACGACGACCGGCATTAGTCAACAGAAAAGAACCAATCCTTCTCCACGATAATGCCAGGCCCCACGTTGCGGAACCAGCACTGGAGAAATTGAACGAATTGAATTACGAAACTTTGCCCCATGCGCCATAGCCAGCAGACCTCTCGTCTACCGACTATTACTTTTTCAAGCACCTTGACAACTTCCTGCGCGAGAACTGCTTCACCATTCATGATGACTCAAAAAATGCCTTCAACGCATCCATCGTTTCCAGAACTCCAGAAGTTCACGTAACTAATTCAAATAAATAGTTTCTCGTTGGCAACAATGTGTAGATTCAAATGGTTCTTATTTTGTTTAATAAGGTTTTGTCTGAAGCAAATTATGACATTTTAAATAATTTAGTTGAAAACGCTCATTTATTTCTAAACATCCCAATAAATGCTTAGTTGTCGTATTTAAATGCTTTCACACCCTTGTGATTGTATTGCCCCTTCAGTTATTCTCTTCTCAATCTCTGCTTGTTAAGGCTGGTGAGCTTTCCTGAGGAGCAGTCTCTTTGTCAAGGAGGCACTCGTAACTGGGTGTGCTGCTGCTTGCCTTAGTTCAACACATCGTTAAGGTCTCCCTTTATTATCGTTTCAATGACGCCTCATTTCTTGATGTGTCCTACTGGCATAGTCTATGCGCCTGTATTTATGGCAACCTTTATGTATACACTTTGCACCTCTTGGTCCCATGCTTGCGCCGTTCATGTGACATATATCGCGGGAATGCAACTCTACATGGCTCCTTCTAAAAGAACTAACGGTTTGGGATGTTTGTCTGCAATGATAACTTAAACATAAGGGATAGCCAGAATGGCGCTTAGATATTTGCAAAAGTCCGGATCGCACGTGTGTGTAGTGG